CAAAATTATTTTCTTGCAATCTTCATTGCTTAACTCACATAATTCATTATAACTGGGGTAATCAAATCCGGTATCTAGTTTCAGAGCATTTTCTAAATTTATATCAAATAGGGGTGGTTTTCCAAACAAACATTTAATCTGTTGTAATCCGCTATATATTAGTAAACCTACTGTCAGTATACCTAATTCATTAAAAATCATTGTTCAAACTTTGAAATAGTCGGTTCTTGATTAATTGAGAATTTCAAGTTAGATTTAATTAATGTACATTTATTAGCAAGTTAAAAAAATTATTTTGAAGTTGGTTATTTATATACTTTTTACATAAAATAAAATTCAAATGCACATTTGTGTTCATATATTTATTTATAGCATGAGCAATTCATTATTCTTTGTTAATAAAATTTTATATTATGTATTCTTTAGCTTATTTTTCGATACGTAAAATTAGTGTTTGTACATATTTTTTAATGCATTTTTAAATATATACTAATTTTTAATATTCAATAGAAAAATGTCTAATTTAATTTAAATGGTGATTATCATATTACATTGTACAAAAATTTAAATCTGTGTTGTAAAATTGGTTTTAAGGGTAAATACAAGTCTACAAGTCCCTTTAATGTACTATATAATGTAGACTGTTAAGTTTGGAGCCATGGTACTTGCACACATTATTCGTGTTCTAATATACATAACAGTACTGTTTTTGGAATATAGTAAACTTTGGTCAGCTAATCACAACAACTTCACATTTAACATTAAACATTATCATAAGTCGATAATTATTATGCTTGTTTTATCTTCAATTTAAGATTTATTTATTTTGTATTTATTAGCTTCGATGAGAAGCTGAGAAGGTATTAATTTTAACATGATGTCATTATTTTTATTTTTGCTGTGTCTGTCATCAATTTTTCTCAGCTCTCACTGAACCAATTTTTCTCAATGATACGTCAAAAGATCACAAATCGTATCTAGTTGAGGACATTACCCTCAAAAAGAAATTTTGCCCTCGTTCATCGTTAATAGTAAAAATTCCCACAAATATTACGATTTTTAGAATCGGTAAATTTTGAAATTTATTCATTTTTTTCTAAAAATTGTTATAACTCATTGAAAAATAAACAAATAAAATTTTTTTTTTATAGACGCATGATGTCTTTACCGATCATTTGGTATATTTTTTTTATAAATATGACCCTTTACCTGCTCACATGGGGGAATTCCAAATAACAACTTTTTCACAAATAATTTAACTTTTTCAACTTAATTTTTGAAAGTGTTCCAGAAAGTCTGACACTTTTATATATATCTTAAATTAAAGCTAATGTAATGTACTTTATTATGGAAAAAAAATTTTTCGGACTTTATTTTGTCTTAACGGTGAAAATGGCTACCAAATGCTATTTTTGTGTGAAAATTCTCGATTTTGTATTTTACATTTTTAACTTCATAATCTTATAACTTATTGAAATGTGTGTGGATCAATACAATTTTTTTATGAGAAATAATATTTATATCCCACTTTCATTCGATATACTTTATCTCTTAATCAGGATATAAATAAGGAAATAGCAGATCATGTAGCTTTTGGAATGAACCATCAATTTTATAAAATTAAACACTATCTACAGATTTGCATCGAAGCGTTTTTAACACGCTTTTATTAGTTTCACGTGTATGTTTGTTGTTGTTTGTTGTTTGTTTGTAAGTTTGTAACTCTCCAAACGCCACGCGTTATCGCATATTCCGTTGTCTAGACTAGACTGTTATACGCATTCACCCCTCCCCACGCCTCGCTCACAATACGACGGTACACTATTCCTATAAAAATTTATTTTTAGTTATCGTACCCGTACACGCGTGCTTGTCATCAATATTATATATATGTAAACAAATTTTTATTTTGACTGACCAATAACGCCCGCGTCTAATGCGCCTTACGTATATATATATATATTCCTACCGCCGTTTATACCTCGGGTATAACGTTAGTCCGACCCGCCCGGCCATAAAACACAGCTATACTTAGTGCATGATACTTTTACGTAGTTAAGTCGCATTATTTGTATAAATATATATATTCTAATTACTATTAAAATTAATATATTAACACGATTTATTCTAATTAAGAGATATAAAGTATTCATTCCGATTACGAGGGATGATTTCCGTATCGTCATTTTTCGTCACTACCTCCACGTTCCGGGAGTGAGTAATTTACGCGCCTGCTGCTTTCCTTGGATGTGGTAGCCGTTTCTCAGACTCCCTCCCCAGAATCGAACCCTGATTTCCCGTTACCCGTAACAACCATGATATTGATAGTAACTACTATCATAACATGAAACTAAAAAGTAAAAAATAAATATAGTTTAAAAAACTAAAAAAACACGCTTTTAAAGTACATCGAACTAAAAAGTTAAAAATAATTTTTAAAATAATTATGAACAAAAAATACTAGTATTATTGTGATAAAAGCGTCGGGCGCTCAATATACGAAAAATATGGCACAAAGCACCCACGCTTTTATCACAATAATACTAGTATTTTTTGTTCATAATTATTTTAAAAATTATTTTTAACTTTTTAGTTCGATGTACTTTAAAAGCGTGTTTTTTTAGTTTTTTAAACTATATTTAATTATTTTTAGCCACCAACATATTTGTCAAAGTGATATTTATGACAAAACCGACACCGATAACGCGCACAAACATATTACAAATTATCAAAACATAAAATATTATACGTCGTCGCACACGTTGACAGGTCAAAAAAAATAATTAAAGTATTAATTTTTGTTAAGTTAAATCAGTTATCAAAACTTATAAGTGATCTTATATAATGAAAATGAAATTTAAAAAAACAATTTACAACATACTGCGTAATATATACAATTTTTTTAAGAAAAATGATCCAGCTAAACTATTTTTTAAATTTAATTAGGATTACCTTATCTAAGGGGTAAGTCGACGAAACAAAAAAGTTTTTTTTAAGCCCATTATTTTAAGCAAAATTTTAATTTAGTAAAGATTTTTTTAAATAAACTGAACAAGTTCAGTTGTTAATTTTACCAGTGGCGAGTTACACTATTTGCTATGTAAAATATATTAAATAATAATACAATAAATACATTTTAGCTTCGATGCGAAGCTGAGAAGGTATTGGTTTTACTAAGATGTGTTTTTTTTTTTTTGTCTGTTACCACTTTTTTTCATCTCTCATAAACATATCAATATCATTCTTTTTTATATAGATGCATAATATCATTACCTTTTATTTGGTATATTTTTTTTATAAATTTGACATTTTTGAAAAATGTATGGATCAGTACAATTTTTTCATGAGGAGTAGTATTTATATAAATCTTTCATTTGACATACTGTTTTTTTAAATCGCACCATTTCCCTATATACGAGGGGGGTTCAAATCTCAAAAATGCATGTAGAAAGTAGAACTTTTTCAACTTAAATTTTGAAAGTGTTTCGGAAAGTCTGACACTTTTATATATATCTTAAATTAAAGCTTATGTAATATACTTTATTATGTAGAAAAAAATATCGGACTTTATTTTATCATCATGGTGAAAACAGACATCAAAGTTTATTAAAAATATACGATTTTTGTAAAAAAATTCTTTTTTATATTTTTAATTTTATAATGCTATAACTTAATGAAATATTTATGGATCAATATAATTTTTTTTTATAGATGCATGATGTCTTTATCTATCATTTGGTATATATTTTTTTTATATCTGACCCTTTACCTGCCCACAGGGGGGGATTTAAAATGACAACTTTTTCACAAAAAATTAACTTTTACAACTTAACTTTTGAAAGTGTTCCGGAAAGTCTGACACTTTTATATATATCTTAAATTAAAGCTAATGTAATGTTCTTTATTATGCAAAAAAAAAAAATTTTCGGACTTTATTTTATCTTCAGGGTGAAAATGGCTACCGAATGCTATTTTTGTATGAAAATTTTCGATTTTGTATTTTACATTTAAACTTTATTATGCTATAACTTATTGGAAAGTGTTTTGATCAATATAATTTTTTTATGGGAAATACTATTTTTTAATAATCCCTTTTTCATTCGACATACTTTATCTTAATCAGGATATTAATAAGGAACTAGCAGTTTATGAAACTTTTGGAATAATCCACCAATTTTTTAAAATTAAACACTAAAGATTTGCATCGAAGCGTTATTTTTTGATAGTGATTTTAATCACTGTCAGATATCATAATACTTGATCCAACTACGCCACGTCACCACTGTGCCGCGACCCCCCTGTGCTGGGTTTTTTTTCACTCGAGATATATTGGATTATATTGTAATATTTTTTAAGCATATCGTTAATCCATTGTATTTTTTTAGGGTACTCAAAGTAATTGTTAATAGTAAAAAACACTACAAAAAAAAAAAAATCTTTAAAGGCTCTATTAAAAACATTGGACGCAATTAAAAATATATTCGAAGTAATAAAGAATATTTCTAAAGAGGTGAAAAATGGTTTAGAAGAAATCAAAAGTACTTCAAATTATTTTAAACATAGTTCAAAATTCTATTGACTACATCAAAAAAGATTTGTAGAACTCAATAAGTTCCTATAGAAATGATGTAAAAAACAAGTCAGACTTATGCTCATGTTTTAAGTTTATAATGGGTGACCAAATTAAAGTTGATAATTTAACAGTTCCCTCCCTCTACCGAAATAGCATTTGTAACACCTAAAAACGATGCAACTAACATATTAACTTTAGATCTTATTTATCTTTGGACGATTCATATGTATACACACTATATAGAATTGCACAAAAAAGAAATATTCATTGTTTATTTAACATATATTTAATTATATTTATCACCTTAGACACATATTAATTATACATTTTATATAAAATATTTTTTGTGCCAAAATTTGATATACAACAAAAATTTAAAAATCGTTTTAAAAGCATAACGAAAAACTACAATTTTTAAACACAATTTCATATTCGAGAATTTAAATAAGTATGTTATTATATAAAATTAGATAAATAATTAAGAGTTTAAAACAACACAACTTTAATGCTATATTACAATTCTAGTAATCTTACGGTGTTCATTTCTTCATCGGAACGATTAAAATCCATTTGTCTAAAGTAATTTGAATATGTTATGAATGAATGGATTATTTTTAGGCTTGTTTCATTAAATAAAGTCTTTAAATTGTATAAGTATAATATCATTCTTTCATAATTATTAGCCCATCCAATTCTGCTAATAGTATCGCTTGCATAGAAATATTCATTGCTCAAATCCTTTGGTTGCAAACCACATTTTAAGAAGAGTTCATTTTTTTGGAGCTCTAATTTTAATAAATACTCTGGGTCAGATATATTATTATATATAAATTTAAAAGAATTTGGTTTAAAGTCATTCATAATACTTTTAATATTCCAAATTTTCACAGAAATAGAAGACTTCAACCAACATTTAAATAATGGTAAATCATCAAACGAATCCAAAATGTTTTGATAATGTTCCCAATTTTGTTCCATTTTATCAAACAAATTAATTTTATCAGATAAAGCTATTACAAATATTTTATGACAAACTAAAGGAATAATGTAATAGTTTGTCTTTTGTAATATATCAATATACGTAACATATTTTGTCATCAAGTGAAGTAAAACAGTTTTAAAAATATTCAATAACTTTTGTTGGTATTTACCAACTTGATAAAACCACAAATCAAACCAATAATAGTTTTTTGCATCTAAGTATTCTTGACGAATTTCTTTATATATTGTTTCAAAATTTTCTTCGCTTTGTTCACCAAAAATCATTAAAATGGTTTTAAATAGCTCTTTATTTTCAATTATGTCGTACAGGTATATATTTTTTAAAGATATCAAGTTTTTTTCATCGTTTTCTATTAAAAATTTATTTGATTCTTTTCTTCGGTTCATTACAGATATAATATCAATTATTTTTGAATTACATTCTCTTTTCCCATGTATACCATTAATTTCANTATCAATTATTTTTGAATTACATTCTCTTTTCCCATGTATACAATTCATTTCGATATTGTATTTATTGTTTTGGCGACATTCCAATGCACTAAATTCAGTCAATTCTTTAACTAATAATTCATGGATTAATAAAATATTTTTTAAAGGTAACTTTTCTTTTTTGTGCAATTCTATATAGTGTGTATACATATGAATCGTCCAAAGATAAATAAGATCTAAAGTTTTACCACTTTTAAGTATGGTAACTAACATATCATTAGTGACTGATGGGCTTAAATGAAATTCTTCTTTTGTAGAAATAATGTCATTAGATTTTAATTTTATATAATACAAATAGTTATAAACATTACCATAAAATAAATCCAAATAGATTATGTCCGAAATGTACTTAAAATATAATCTTTCATTTTCTTCTGTTGTCAAAATTATTTTCTTACAATCATCATTGCTTAACTTACGTAATTTATTATAGCTGGGGTAATCAAATCCGGTATCTAGTTTCAGAGCTTTTTCTAAATATAAATCAAATGGGGGTGATTTTCCAAACAAACTTTTAGTTTGTTCTATTACGCTATATATCAGTAAAGCTATTGTCAATATATCAAATTCATTAAAAATCATTTTTCAACTCTTGAAATTTATTATGTAATAATTACTACTTGATTTATTATGAATTTTAAAGAAGAAAAAATAGATTTACATTTTAAAAATTGCAAAAATTACTTTAAAATGTTTTATTTAACACAATTTATATGTGAAATATAATTCAAATGAACATTTGTGTTATTTACAACTGTTTATATATATATATTATATTTATATCATAAGCAATTTATTATTCACTATTAGCATAATTTTAAATTATAGTTGTGTTGGTCACATGTTTTGATATGCTAAATTAGTTATTAGACGAGCATTTAATTTATGAAATAATGAAGTGTATTTTTTATGTTTTTCAAAAATAATTTTGGATTTAACTAATTATTAGTATTTAAAAAGAAAAAACGTCAATTTACTTAGAACTTAAAGGGAGATTATCTTACTTTATTACATATAAATTTAAGTCTGAGTTTATATTATAGTTTTACTATGAAGTGCATTTGTTATGTTTATAATTGTTATAACTATTTCTCATGTTTAATTGAAAATAAAATCGTTTTCGTTAAATTTATCAAAATAATGATATATTCGCCGAGGATTAACAATTGGCCATATAAACACATATTTTCTTAATTTACGTGCAAGTATATTAATTTGCCTACACTTATTTTATGCGGTGAAATTATAGGATTAAAATTAGACACTTTAAAGGTCTAAATTTTAATGATTTCGTTATTTCAATAAAAAAAAATGTTTATCATATATTATTAAAATAAATTTTAATCATTTATAAATTTATTTCTATTGTAATTTTCATTTCTCGTTATTAAATTAAAAAAAACAAACATATAAATTCAATGATAAGGAAGTAAAATCACATTATTTTATCATTGTAAATAATGATNTTTTTTTTGTTGAACAGTTAACCCGTGTGTTTGTAACCGTTCTAGGACTCGTTGTAGGTGATTGAGATGTTCGTCCATACTCAATGAATACACCACAATGTCATCCAGGTATACAAACACGAATTTACCAACGTATCCACGCATAACCTCGTTCACCAACCGTTGAAAAGTAGCCGGGGCGTTTTTAAGGCCGAAAGGCATTACTTTAAATTGGTAGAGGCCCATCTGTGTGCGAAACGCGGTGAGTGGTCGTGACGCTGGTGTCAGACCTACTTGCCAATAACCGGACTTCAGGTCGATGGTGCTGAAGACGTTAGCGCCACCCATCCCTCTGACCATGTCATGTAAGTCGGGCATTGGATGTGCGTCGGACTCCGTCTGAAGATTGAGTCTTCGGTAGTCGACGCATAACCGCTGAGAGCCATCTTTCTTTTTAGCGAGAACTACGGGAGCTGCCCATGGCGAGGTACTTGGTTCTACAAACCCTTGCTCCTCCATTTCTCGCACCATATTAGAAATGATGTCCTGTTTCTCGCGATTATATGGGTATGCATTTAAGGCAGCCGGCGTATTTTTGTTTAACCGGATATCATGTTCAATGATACGAGTTCTTCCGACTTCCCCGGAGAAAACTTTAGGGTACTTTCGTATAATTGACCGCACTTCTTCAGGATACTCTCCTTCCGGTACAATTACTTCTTGAACAAACCCTTTCTTCGATTTATGTTTTCTCCAGCACACCGTTGTACGTTTTTCAGTACCCATGTGAATGGTACACGCCTGGTAATCCCATGATACTTCCTGTTTCACCAAAAAGTCATGTCCTAGGAAGATGTCCCCAATCAAGTGGTCGAGTACTGCGGCTCTGAACGTCACCTGAAGTTCAGACACCCTTGCTGTGAATTCAGCGTACTCGTGAACCTGCACGGTCCGGTTGTCAGCCATAGTGACCACATGTGGTTCTTCTTCTACCAATTTCCCATATTTGCGTGCTACCCACGGTAAAACGTAAGATCTCGTGGCTTGAGAGTCTAACGGCGCAACAACTATTCCCGTAGGGAACTCCAGTTCAATTGCCGGTAATGGCACATTGTAACTTTTTGGTGTCCCGGTTGATGTCGCTTTTTTACCGTTCTTGGTTGGGTTTGAATGACGCAAGGTTTCTACCGTGATCTTCTCCGGTTCCGAAAACATATTTGAATCCTGGTCGGATTCTGTTCGGTTCCCGTTGTCGATAGAAACATTTTCTCCGGAGAAAAGTTTAGCTGCCCGGAGACGTATATTGTATAACGAATCCGTGTCAGATTTTCTCCGTCGATTTTGAATTCCGCGGGAAGGAGTGAACTCCTCAGAGGGTTTTACCGGGAAAGACTTCGGGACCGACAACAAAGTACTTGTTAGAAGGTCTTGTTCCGGGTCTTCCGGGATTTTGTTCGGTAAATGGTCCTCGGAATGTGCTGTTAATGTTCCTTGGTCAGGACGCATTGAGCTACATTCCAGTATTTCCGAAACTTCTCCCTTTTCGGTTTTCTCCCGAAAATTATCCTTTCCTTCGGATCCAATTGCGGCAAACTGCATTTTGGTTTGTCCCTCCGATCCCTTTATGTGTTCTTGAGCAGAACTTCGGGCTTTGGGACTTTTTTTTCGGCGGTTTTCGGGTTTTAACACTTTCTGTCCGGGCGATTTTCCGTGGATCGACCGGAACTCTTCCCGTTTCCCGAATCCTTCCGGTTTTTGTCCGGGCAGTTCGCCCACCAGTGACCGTACCGATTGCAGTTTTTGCATCTAGCCGCTTTATCGGGCTTCTTCTCCGGCAGTTTACCGTTTGAACTCGGCGGTGGTTCTTTATTAGGCCATCTAGGGCCGTACCCACCAGGCGAAAATCTCTTTTCTTCGGGTTGCCGTTGCCGTGAGAAATCTTCATTATCCAGATCGTTAGCCAGCTCAAACAGATCGTCTATTGACTTCGGTCGCCTAACACGCGCGTGTATCCGATAGTCTCTGTTCATCAGCGCCACGATAAGATCGACTAGCTCGTAGTCCGTAAGCCTCGAGTCTAGTCGGCGGGCTAGCTGGCACTTCCACATAATGAACTCGCCTAACGACTGGTTCTCTCCCTGAGTACCATTGTGGAAGTCGTTGCGAATTTGTGTCCGGATAGACTCGCTATTGAACCTTCGCATAAACTGTTGTCGGAACATATGCCAAGTTGGGTTCATACAGCGTATGGTTCCCCACCATGTTCCGGCCTCCGCCTTGAGTTGAGGTGCTAGAACTTGTACCCATTTATTTAATGGTAATCTAGCCTCATAAAGGATCGCTTCAGCGTCCGATATGAACGTAGTCGGATCTTCCTGTCGTTTGCCGGAAAACTCCGGCAGAGAAGCTCGTGCTAAAGACAGACTGTCT